CGAGTGCTCTAAACTCAGTACCTGGAGGACCACATTCCACATTCCCCACCCCTCCTGCCTCACAGGTGCTAGAAGGCAGGGAGGCTAGACTGAGGGAGGCGGGAAATGCAATGCTTCCCCCGCATGTGGGGCCGCAGGCTTGATGTGCATGTCCCCCCCTCCCACAACAGCTCCCAGAGGCGGCTGTCGTTACCGGCCTCATCCCAGCCTATTGGCCTCCTTCCAGGCAGCTGAGGCTCAGAGAGGTCAAGCAACCTACTCAACAAAACACAGGACTCTAGGGAAGAGGCTGTTCTCATCAGCAGGAGGAGGGCTGTTGAACATCAATTAGCATCAAGTCCAGATCTCCCCCAGGGAGCAGGGGTGTGGCAGGGACAGGACAGAGAGTCGCCTACAGCTCATCAGGGGGTGCGCTCCAGGCGGACTTGCACCTTTGCCGCTTCCTCGTGAAAAGTTCCTGCGGTGGGCGGTGCCATAAAGTCGGCACTTCCGGTCAATTGGCACATCCTGGCAGCAAGCCCCCCCCCCGCCCCCCCGACACCCAGCCCCTGCTCTGGTCTGGCAGAGAACATGAGTCAAGTATTGTTTGCTCTTAAAACAAACACACTGTGTTCAGTCAAAAGTAATATACACTTGAGGCAAAGTCATTTCAAACAATTTCGAAGGTATAAAGTGAAAATTCCAAGACCCTCCGGGTTTTTCCACACGCGCACATGCGATGTGTACATTATGTTACCTGTGTTATACACACGTACACAATACGCATCTCTTTTTTACATGCCTAGGACTATACGGTTGTATATGATTGGATTTCGTTCTTTCGCTTAATGTAGTCTAGGAATCTTCCCTTGTCAGTAAACACGTCTCTCCCTCACTCTTTTTAATGACCGCATCGTGCAGAATCTGCTTAAACCGGTCTCTTGTCGATGGAAACTGAACTTGCTTCCTGAATTTCGCTGTTACTAAACAATGCTACAAGGAGCATCCTTGTGTATTTACCTTTGCACCCTTGTGGAAACATCTCTGTAT